ACACTCATTTTGCAATATTACAAAATAATTTGTTCTAATAGACAATATTACCTGGAAGCAATGTAATTTTTTTAGAATGAACCCTATAATGAGCATATTCACTTTGTAGGATAAAAATCAGGAAAATGTCTGTTGTCAAGGAAATATATTAAATATAATAATATAATAAAAAATATTACTTACCACAGGGTAAACAAAGTCTAGATATAATTCTAGCCTAGGTTTGGAGATAATGCTTGTGGGGTTGTGTGTGTGGGGAGGCTGCTTGTGTGATTATATGTCCATGAACTGGATTGTTTGCAGTACAGTGCATTGGTGTAAATGTTGCTGTAGTGTATGTGTATTGGGGCTGGAGTATTTGTTGAGGGATAAGTCTGTAGTGTATGTAGAGGATAGAGAGTGTAGCATGTGTGATATAGCTTATGTAGTACATGTGGGGTTAGGGGCTGTAATATGTGAGGAGATGGAAGCATAGTGTGTATGTAGGGGTATTGTTGTAGGGTGTGGGAGTGATGCATCTGTAGTACATATGTGGACGTTTAAAGGCTGTAGTATGTGGGAATGGCAGGGTCTATACTGCATGGGGGGATAAAAGATGTAATGTATGTGGAGATAGAGTCTGCAGTATGTGGGGAGATAGGGCCTTAGCATGTTGGGAATAGGGCCAAGGAGCTGCTAAGCAGGGCCGGTGCATGGATTTTTGCCACCCTAGGCAAAAAAAAAATTGCCGCCCCCCCATATGTCCTGCCCACCATGTGACATCACAATGCCCCGCCCATATGCCATATGGGCCAACACCAGTCTTCACAAAGTGTCTTTTATCTGAAAAGACAGAGTGTTTACATTAAAAAGCCTACAGGCACAGGCAATAGAAACCAGAACCACTACATTAAGCTGTAGTGCTTCTGGTGACTATAGTATCAATTTAATGTGAGGTAAATTAGAGATTAGTGCCACTAATAATATATTGGATTGCCTACTTACCACCAGATGAGGACAAGAGGCTGATGATGGGCTCAATCTGGCTCCACAGGTCTGGTGTAGAATAGGAAGCAGCGCCATTTTTTGGGGCCCCTTACACAGCTCAAGGTCTGGGCATACAAAGCCCACCCATAAATCCACCTACATGGCCCACCCATGAGTTCTCTCACAGGTAGTGGAGTGTATGTGTGTAGGGGATGTTTTATGTATTATTGTAGAGGATGCAATGTGTGTGTGTTCTTATAAAATGTAGTGTATAGGAATACCAATTTGTGTAAGGGATGTAGTGTGTGTGTTTCTGTGTATGTAATTGAATGCAGTGTGTGTCTGTAAGGGGTGCATTGAGTGTGTAAGAGATGCATTTTGTTTCTGTGTGTAATAGAATGAGTGTTTGTGTGAGCGTAAAGGATGCATTGTGTATTTTGGATGTGTCTGTGTGTGAGTAAGATGCATTGTATGTTTCTGTGTGTGTGTGTGGGGATGAATTGTGTATATGTGTAGTGTAAAAGAGAGGGTTTGTGGGTTAGGATAGGGACTGAGAGGGGAGCAGCTCTTTATTTGGTTCTTAGTGTCCCCCCTCCTCCCCAGTGATCCTTAGTGTCCCCTCCCCCTCCTCCCCCAGTGGTCTTTAGTCCCCCCTCCCCCTCCTTCCCCAGTGGTCCTTAGTCCCCCCTCCCCCAGTGGTCCTTAGTCCCCACCTCCTCCTCCAGTGGTCCTT